AACGTTTTGGAAAGAGTTTATCTATAGTGAAAGGGCTCAATTTAAAAAAAATAACTCAGAATAATATTACATTACAGTAAATATATTATAGTAAATATTATATTATAGTATAATAATAATAATAGACTAAATATGCAGTCTCCCCAGCCATCTCATACAACTAAAGTTAGTTCTCAAAAGGTGAATTTCTGAGAGTAGCCGATATAGGAGTACATTTTGAACGCGCTGTTTGGCCTGTGGGAGCCACCGTAGTTCCTTGTTATATTCCAAGATGGCGCTCCCTATGAGGGTTAACGTGAAATATCTCCTTCAATTAATTCAAAAGCATCATTCTCCAAAAAGATTATTCTGCGCTGGACAATGTGCGGACAGAAAGGTATGTTTCAAATGCACATTTACTGTATGCTCATTGGTTATTGTACTCCTTGTATATAGCCTCGTTATTTTATTGTGTTACTATTTCCTTTTGTAATTAGCAAATTGTTCTTACTTTTTAACTCTGAATTGTTGGGAAATGGCTCGTAAGTAAGCATTTCACAGGTCTACTACACGTTTTGTGTTCGGCGCATGTGACAAATCCAATTTGATTTGATATTGTGCTTAGACCAGGAGAAAACCGTAGGACGCTAATGTTGTTGACAGTTCAGGTTCATGAAACCATGCTAGTTGATGCAAGGCTTGCTGACATTATCTTGGTGGGAAAATGCATGGTTTATAACGAAAACGATTTAATGTATTATTAATTCAATGTTAGTGCTATAATAATGTGATTTGTATAATTTGTTTAATAGTTCTATAATAGCAGCTAGTAGTTGCCTACTATTATTTGCCTAGTAGTAAAGCATTGAGATTATGAGCAATGTGGCTGTGTAGTATTATCCTGCCATTGTCATATTTGATACAAAGGTGCTCCACCACACGCCATTCATCCCGAACTGCTTCAATCTACCTTTTTAATCCATCACTCTTGAATTTCCTATAAATCTAAAAAAAAAAAAATCTATTTTTTTGTCTGTATCCTGTAATTCAGCTTTTAGCTGCGAATGTGCACAATATCAAATAAACCTAACTACTAAACACCTTACTACTAAATGAATAGCCCATTTAAGTATTTGCTAGAATGGTGGTCACCAACCCTGGTCATGCAGGATTTTGTTCTAACTCACCACTAATGAAATCAAACAGCAAGCCCGCATGTGTATTAGTACTGGGCTGGAACAAAAGCCTGCACGCTGAGTAGGCTATTGAGTAAGGCCATATGTGAAATGCTCAGCAGTTGATATAGACTAGTGCTTTAGACTGCTGTTTCATTAGGAAATGTGTCCTCGAATCTAATCTCCTTAAAATGTGTAATTTATTCTACTATTTTCAGTTAGGCTGCACCCTTGACTTGCCCGGACAAGGTAATGGAGTGTTAAATCCAACAACAATCCGGTAACAATAGTTTGTGCTTTTTGGCACAGTAAGGACGCTAATTATTGAGCCATGTTTTGTGTTACGACCAAGTTATTTATTTTTGTAACTGATGTACGAGCTGTGCGCCTTAATGAGTGCCTAGTAGTGCTGAGGAACGGAATGCGCGCTCACCGCTGGTGCGTCTGTGTTTTGTTAAGGCGAAGTCTCTCGAGACGTTGGAGAGGTGTGTGCGCGCCTAGGCGGGAGGCTAGATGGAAGTGGAGGAACCGAAAGCATCACAGCAGTGCTTCATTACCAGAAATAAAGTCAGTAATGAAGTGTTGGTTTTCATTTGATTAAATCTTCTCGAAATGTGGACGGCAGAGCGCAAACCCGGGTACACAATGCTCCGAGGTGTGATGTGCGTCAAGACGTTGAGCTCGAAAAAGTGTGTTAAATCGCTGAACCTCTGCAGACCAATAGAGAGATTAACTATAACCTGTCACTGATCTAGAGCAGACCAGGAAATTTGACATGGCGTTTTATAAATCTGACTCATTTTAACACATTTTGTAGCCATATTTTCTAGATGTAGCCTAGCCATATTTTATTGGTAACCTATCCAAACATACCCGTTATTGTGGGATAGTTTAACTATTGTGCTTATACAGCTCCTTCAGTCAACAAGGTCATCGTGTAAAATAATGGAACCTGTAAATACGAAGGTCGTCCTCATCTGTAAAGTTGATGTTAAAACTCAGTGAACTAGGGCTGGATTCAATCCGTATTGTTGAAGTGTAGGTGAAGATCTGTATTCTAGCTTGATTGACAGTTAAAGGCAATGTTCCTGCGTTCGCGGAGACTGCATCCATGGGAAACGGTGTACATGTCAACTCGTTTGGAAATTAAGTTTACATTTTAACGTGAATAGTTAAATGTATCAGCGCAGAGTTAAAGAAAATGTGCTATGTACATTTTTGGGAGACCTGACCAAATTCACATATAAATGTGAGTTATAAATTTGTCATTGAAAGCAAATCTAAAAAGCGGTAGATCTGTTCTGTGTGCTATTTCTATGCTTCCTGTTCTTAAGTTTAGTTTTTGCATCTTTTTTACTTTGGGTTTTGTACACCATCTGAAAATACAATATTTTTGGTTATTGAAAGGATATTTCACAGCAGTTTAGATGGTAGAAGAATTCTCTACACTTGCTTGATTTGTCACATAAAGTGAAATTAGGCGAACTATTAGAATTCTAGCAACCAGGAAATGGTGGAGAGATTTCTGCATATTGCACCTTTTTAAGTATTTTGCAACATGAGATTGTGGGCAGTTGATGCACTTGAATGTACAACTGGCCAGAGAAGGCCATAATGGTGAATCTATTTTAGGCCAGGGTGTGGTGTAGGCAGAACTGATATTACATCAGTTGTTAGGGGCAGAGAGCGAGTAACCTGAGTGCAGACTTGTGGCAGCCATGATTCCTCCTAGCACTGTGTAACATGGTGCTCCCTCCTTTCCTCTCTGTCTGCTCCTTAACTCGCCTGTGCTCCTAATGGCTGATATCAGTCATCTCAACCCCACGCTCCAGGAAGAAGGAAGCGAGTTCTAATTCGCCTCTGCTCTGCTCAGTTCCAAGTTCACTCACTGTGGTGTCAGCTAAAACCATTAGAACAGCTCCCCAGCCCCACACAGGAGGGAACAGGGAAACATAATGGACTTCAAGTTGAGTACATTCATTAATTGCTCTCTTTATTTTCAACTGTCAGAAAAGCCCACTATTTCTCACTGGTCTCCTCCATACTGGATAATTAGGTGTGTCAAAGGACTGCTAGTCCCGCCAATGCTTTGCAAATCAGCCATTTGTCCAAACTTCCCCCGAATGTCAGCATTTAATTTTTTTCTACGTACCTAAACTGAATTACAGAATAAGTCTGTCTCTAATGTGTCTATGTTAATACCCAGGGAGCCTTAAAAGCTTCTTAATCCCATGTCTTAATCTGTGGAGACCCAGACGTTGGACAGAAGGTCTGATGGTTTTAATTAAATGTACCAAGTATCTGGTATCGTGCTTTTGGGCCACACTCAAGTCAACAGACGCTGCGTGTGTGTCTATTTCCTGGCGGAGGTTGGCCTTGGCCTGAGTGTTACCATCATTATAGATTGAATAATTTATGAAGTGTCTCCAGGTTCTTTTTGGTGTGCTTATGGTATTATTATTTCCACTTTCTGACTTTGCCCCCCATTCTGTGGAGTAAAATGTAAACAACACCACTGTTAACTCATTCAGCAATTAAATATTTTTATAGACCCATTTTAAAACACCTCATTTATACAATTTCTTGATTTGTCCATGGTGTGCCCAACAAAGCTGTTTATGTATTGGGTTAGCTTGGCCTGGGCCGTAGTGGAAGCTGTATCGGGTTAGCTAGACCTGAGCCGAAGCTGCATCGGCTTAGCTAGGCCTGAGCTTTAGCTCTGGATATATTCGGTAGGCATAAAGCTAGGTCTGAGCTCAGACCATAGCCATAGCTTTGATTTGGGGTAATCCTGGGACATAGCTGCATGGGCCCCGTGTAGCTCAGTTGGTAGAGCATGGCGCTTGCAACGCCAGGGTTGTGGGTTCGTTTCCCATGGGGGGTCAGTATGAAATTGTATGCACTCACTAACTGTAAGTTGCTCTGGATAAGAGCGTCTGCTAAATGACTAAAATGTAAATGTTAGTCCTGAGCTTTAGCTGGAGCTCTGTATTGGGGTAGTCCTGGGCCGGGCTGCCTCCTGGTTATTTTTGGAGTGCTGTCGGTCTCTGTCTGCGGGGAGCGCTGTTTTTGAAGGGCCTCCAGTCCCATTAATCAGCCGGGGGACCCCACGGTGTGAGCGGGCCCCGTTCCCTGGCCCGCCTCACTGCCGCATTCTGTTCCTCTCTCCCCTCTCCTCCCCGCTCTCTGCACAGTATGAAGCACAGAGGAACCTCATCAATCTCACCTGTCCCACACGTCAACCACAGATTTAATCAAACGCTCCGTTTGGGCCCCCCGCTTCTCCATCCATACCCCTCACAACCCCTTTTTAGAGAGAAAAATAATCTCTCTCTCACCCAGACCTACCTTCTTTCCCTCTCGGGCTTCTACGTTGCTCTCTCTTTCGCTCTGTTGCTTTTTCTAATTTCTTGCTCTTTCATTCTACCCCTGTGTTTTCTCTGTGGTCATTCACACTTTTTCAAGCTGGAGTGTGATCTGATAGAGGCTATACACACACACACTGCCCTATCACCCTCTACATTAAACACCATTTCCTGCTCAATAGCTCACTGAAGTGGGGCTCTGTTGGTCACCTGCTTTAACTGGTCCCTATGCGAGAGAGGGATGGAGAGTGAGACGAAGGAGGTGGTGGTGGTAGCTGCAGGAGCGGCAGGACCGAGGCCTGTTTTAGAGGTTGGTTCAGCATGGTTTCTGTGTTAATGGAGTGCCTGGTGTGAGGGGGACAGAGGGGGAACACTGGACCCTGTGTGTCTCTCAGTGGGAGAGCGAGGGGACTCAGGCGGACGGACACAAGGACCAGAGGGGATCTAATCCCCACCGCTTAGGCCCAGCTCGGTCCTTCCCATGCTGGATCGGATCTGGTCCCAAGGAGGGGCTGATGGTACCCCGTGGAGGTGGCCGGTGCCCCCAGTGGAGACTCTGAGAAGTGTTGCAATTGGCATGCTGGAGTGGTGGCCGCTGCAGGGGCCGGTCCTCTGGAAGCCCTGTGAGGGGGATGTCAGTGAGCAACTCTCATATGATGTATGAGGAGAAAAGCCCTGAAGAAAATCACACTGTTTCTCAGCGTCTTACCCAATTGACAATCAAACTACTCCGGTGATTTATGGTGTTAGCTGGCTGGACACCGACTTAGACAGACAGGCTGCAAGTCAGCAGACAGTCAACTCAACTGAGATTGGAAGTCTAGCCTAGATCAAGAAGCTCAAGCAATGCTCAAGCAATGTAGCCTACCCAACATGCTTGGAGGACTGTTAGGAAAACAGACGTTTCTTTTTGTGGCAACTTGGAGGACTTCCCTTTTGAAATGCCTTTTGAGAGCACAATCCTTCATTCAATGAAAAATAATTTCACTCTGTCCTTGCAGATCCTCCCATTGTATAGCAATATATTTGTCATATTTTACACATTCCAGTGGAAAGATGTTACAGTACTTTACACTCAATTAATAAGGATTTCTGGCATTCCTCTTTGTCCATATGCTGTGATCCACATGTGGTCTGGGGGAAACTAGGAGGAGAATTTGGAAAGAGGAGAGTTGTGCTGCTCCAGTGAATTTAGGCCAGTGGTCTTCTCTGGACAAGTAAGTCATAATAAAGAAAACACACTGTTGTTTTTCTAACTAACTGAATCTGTTCCAAAACTTCCAATCGATGATTGTTGATGTTTTTCTGCATTTCTGTGTAATATCATTAGTGTGGTTTTGATGTCGATGTGATTCACTTTTTCCATCTGTGATGAGTTCTGTCATATTCCTGCTGCGCACACACACACAACCTCCATCCCTCCCTCACACTGTTTCTTTCCATAATTATCTTACATACACACACACACACACGTGTTATGAGCGCTAGTCACACTCACACAGTGTGTAATGTATTCACCATATGCTAGATGTGGATGAAGAAACCTTTTGTCACCTAGGCTACGCTGTGGTAGGACAGCATCGTGCCCCTCATAGTAAAATATGCAGAGAGAGCACCCAAAGTTACCGATGCTGCTACCTGTCATCAACAGGCCCACAACGGGTGGGAGAGATGGAGAGACACAATGAGAGAGAGAATTCACATTTTCACATTTACATTTTAGTCATTTAGCAGACGCTCTTATCCAGAGCGACTTACAGTTAGTGAGTGCATACATAAAAATAAAAACAATTATCATACTGGTCCCCCGTGGGAAACGAACCCACAACCCTGGTGTTGCAAACGCCATGCTCTACCAACTGAGCTACACGGGAATAGCATCTGGTCGTTTCAGTTCCTCAAATAACACCGCTTTCACGTTCAATATTTGCCTTATAATTACCCCAATACTGTCGCGTTGTCAACATTTATCATACTTTCCTACTTATCTTAATGTCTTTCCTCATAACTGTAGTGGCACATGTTTAAAGAAAGTTCGATTTTTCTCTGACCAAATGCAACATGGAGCAGAGGTGTCAGGCAGGCGTCTGTGATGTGAGCCTGATTACCCAGTGGCTAGTTAGCAGTTAGCGTTGACTCTGTTAGCCTGCGATTGTCTCAAATGACACCATTACCATGTCTTCATGGCTAATAGCCTCCCCCAGGGTGGGGGGGGGGACATGCGTTTGGCATGTCAACGCGAGGTGAGAACACACATGAGCCAGATTGAGGCCGTCCACACCCAAATCACTCCTGACACCTCTTAAGGGGCCATCAGCATCAATGGCTCTCTGCTACAATTACCCCCTCAGTAATAATGACATAAGCACCCAGTTCCTTCCTGCCGGCGCTGAGTGCTCGCCTCGAACTGACCTGGAATCTGATCCCAGAGGGCTGGTCTCAGAGCAGTTATCTGATCCCTTAGGCCCAACAGACAGAGACGACAACCAGGACGGGACTGGTCTAGGAACGGCGGTTATCTTATCCCAGAGGCCGTGGAAGGCTGTCTGTCCCTCACAGACACTGATTGTAATTCAGACTACTGTTGCTGTTTGCTGAAGGTACAAGAGATCCTTTGAGTGTTTTGGTTTTCTGATTTGTTATGATAACCCAAAATAGAAAATACTGTACAATTCCCTGCACAATATTTGAGAGTAAGTTTCTAAAGATTTGTAAAGATAAAGAATTTCAAAGATTGCAGCTCAAGTTACACAGCAGGGATTTCAACACGATTTTGTTGGTTGCAAGGTATCGTGAATTTATTTTATGACACCTGTTTTCGCTTGTGGTGTGGAGGGTAGTGCCCCGATTTGACCATTTCAAGCACGGTGTATAAACAATATTCAGACAGGCCCTCCTGACATACTAAAACTGATTGTTTATGCTTTTCTGCTGAACAGCACTGCTGTATAATATATTTAGCCAAGAAACCCCTCAAGTCATAAGTGAAGTTCCAGGTCCCCTTCCATGCCACCTCAGTACTGCAGTATGTAGTGCAGGCCGGGCACAATGTCATGACTAGTAGGAATGGACCAAGGCCAGAACCTAGCAGACTATCAATACCATGGCTCAATGGAGTAGGTCAATGCCAGACCTGACCATGCCAGAACCCAGCAGAACCAGAAACACTATTTACCCAAGGATCTTAAAGTGAAGTGTGATCTCTCTCTTTTAGAGGGGAAAGGGCCCATCCCTCAACCCGCTCCATGGCTTTAAAATAAGGCCTTTGTTTTATTTCTGATACACTTTGGTCTCTCTCTCATTTGATTTGTGCTGACTATATACCTAAACCTACACTAAATGGGAGGAGCCTTTTTTAATAACTCTTATTGGTTTATTTGACAGTCTTCCCTGCTTTCATTGGCAGTTTGTAGTTGTTCATGCTCTGGCCTCATTGGCTGGCTGGAAAGTGTTCTATATTTTCATTGGCCAGTTCTGTTCTCCCACTGACTGTTAGAGGTGCTAGCTATAGAGTTAATTCAGCATCTCAATAACAGCTCATCAATGAAAATCTAATCTCCCCCCAGGAGCCTCTAGGTGGGCGTGTATTCTCAGGGATCCAGCCCACGGGTGTGCCCCACCTGGGGAACTACCTTGGAGCTCTGGAGAGCTGGGTGTCCCTGCAGAGCCAGTACCCCTCGGTGCTCTACAGCATAGTGGACCTGCACTCCATCACCCAGCCCCAGGACCCAGCCCTGCTGCGGGTTAACATACTGGACATGGCTGCCAGCCTGCTGGCCTGTGGCATCAACCCAGAGACATCTATCCTCTTCCAGCAGTCACAGGTTAGTCAGACACTCACACACACAGACCACCACTATACACCCGCCATTGGTAGTGTTCATCCCTGCCACACACACACCACACACATACAATCACTGCTCTATTAAAGGAGTTTGAACCTATATTCTAATGTGGTTTTACAAACAGGTAGAAAACCTGAGTGTGTGTTTGTGACTTGGCGGTCTGAGCAGGCTGCCTTGGATCTGTTTCCCAGCATGTCAACAAGAGACTTAGCTGGAGCAGCGGCCATATTGGAATGTTTATTTTATCATGGCAAACTCTGAATGTGTACCTAATGCAGCAGCTTTAAAACGCTTATTTTATCACTCCGATCCTTATCTTCTCTGTGTGCTCTGCAAATTCACAGGGATTAGGAAAACACATATTCACAAACCACCATTTACTTCAGAGGAAGCCACATGAAGGGGGATAATGATAGATGAACAACATGCACCACTTCAACAGATCATTTTCAGGGAAGTGTTAGGAAAATAAGTTAATCATAATAGACATTTTCTTCTCCCTGGACACCTAAATTGTGTGTTTGTGTGTCTATTTCTGGAAATGCCATATCTGTTTTGATAGTGTGATCCATCTGTGATGTTCCTTACACACATAGCCCTATTTTTATTCCTGTTTAGCTTCATGCCACATATCTTGGCAGCGAAGGGGACCTCCCATTGAACACACGAGCTGGAGTCTGTTCCACATGTACAAATACCACTACCGCCCAAAGAAAACACTTGACTTCATTGAAAAAGTGGTTACAAGCTGAAATCAATAGTGTCTTAAGGGAATGGCCTTCATCTTGAAAATGGAGAAGTGTGTGTGTGTGTGTGCGCGCGCGTGTGTGTGTGCGAGAGAAAGACCGTAGTAAAGTTATACCCTTTCTTACTGGAATAACAGCAGCAGATCCACAAAGCTGTGAGGTTTATAGGAATATCTTGGCTCCCACCCGCTAATGAAATAAGAGATGTTGATCTACTGTGTAATGACTAAATCTAATGTCAGTTGTCCTATAATGACATAATCCATAACATTACTAGTAGCGTCTTTGTTTCAGTTACTGCTGTCATCAACCTCCCATCTCACGTTTCATCGTCTGTCTGTAAGAAATCTGTAGCTACATGCATTCAGTGTAAAATCCTGGTTTAGTTCTGTGCTGTCCTAAGTTTACATCAGACTCTTTACAATCTGTTTAAGTGGAGAGAGATGGCAGCCACTTCGCCAGCGCCCATAAACTTTAATTCTCTGAAGCAGAAGGATTTTGCCCCTTTTTTTCCCACCAATGAGAGTTGTTGGCCAGGCCCATTGGTTTGAGAGAGGCCCATGTCAGAAAGAGAGAAGCATGGGATGGTTGTAGCGTTATGCAGAGAGGGAGTCGTTAAACCAGCCCTGCTAATGCCTAGGAGATTGGAGTTATTTAATGGCTCTTATGCCTTGATAGCGATGTATAATGGAGTATGGCCATTGGCTATGGCCTCTGGCCAACCGAGCACCTGTTAGGGAACGCAGACTCAGAGAGCGAAGTGGGGGTGGGGGGAATCCAGTGTAGTTCCTATCTCTGCCACATGGTGGGGCTAGGAGGAACCCCCACCTGTCCCCAGAGGATCTGAAAGGTTTTTTGTTACAGTATGTTTTGTAGTGGTGGAGAAGTAGCCTGGCTGACTCGACCCATGGGGTCAGCCAGACTAGTGGAGAACAGACTTTGATAAAACATTTACAGGTAGGCTTTGTTTAACCCCTCACACTCGTGGGAATTGACCTATATGGATGGGGCTAAATTAAAATATTTATTACAGATGAGATATGGGAAGCATATGCATAACCTTGGTAGCAATTAAAAGGGAACCGGTTGGAGATTATGGAAAAATTATTAGATTAAAGGTGAGGACACAGCAGTTCACCTGACACAAGACTGAATCCAAACTGTTGATTGTATGTGCATTTTACATTTACTGTACTTTTCACCGCATTTGTTTAGGTGCTTATCAGTGTCCAAATCTGGCATTTTCAACCTGTATACGGGTAAGAGTGGAAAGGGCTACAGACAAACAATATTTGGGCTTCGATCATGTTGACTGACTGGTTGTGATGTCTCTCCCTCTCTTCCACAGGTCAATGAACACGCTGAACTCTCCTGGATCCTAGGCTGTCTTACCAGTATGCCCCGACTCAGACACCTGCCTCAGTGGAAGGTACAGAACGGCTTGGGAATGCTGTGGGAATTGAAATACAGTGGTAGAACCACTGAATGAGTTTACTTGGGGACCAATCATTAGATTTTATGTAAATTGTGCATTGATTTCAATGGGAAATTTGTGCTGCACTCACTAAATGGGAGAATTGTGCTGATAAGTACAATTATTTAGTCCAGTTACAAATGGTGGAAAGTTCAATGCTATTCTTCCATCTTCATCCAATTTTATTTTCTCATTTTCAGCATCCTGACTATTGTTTTAGTCCTGTTTGTTTCTCATACCTCACCTAGCAGATCTGTTTTTAACGTTCTCATAATGACAGTGATTTCCCTGGCCACGTGCAGTTTTACTAGGAGGCCAGAGGGAAGGAAGGGACGGCCAGCAGTGTTCTGGTTCTACTCAGAAAACACCTTTTTGTTTACGCAACCGATGAGTTCATGTCAAACGTGGCGGAAAATGTCCTGTGAATTCAGCCATGTTGGGTTTGTGGGAGCATTCTTCACGTGTAAAGAGAAAATGCCTTCTTAAAAATAACCCAACACATTTTCCTTTTCTTGTTCCCTCTCTCTCTCTCTCTCTCTCTCTCTCTCCTTTAATTTCTCTTCCTGCTCTCTCTCTTTCTATCCCCTCTCTCCCCAGATGAAGAGTAAACAGAAGAATGAGGGGAGTGTGGGGCTGTACACATACCCCGTCCTGCAGGCTGCAGATATTCTCCTCTACAAGTGAGATCAGTCTCTACAGTACCACATTGTGTGTGTCTGTGTGTTGTTGTTGCCTCAAATGAATAAAATATTGAAGACAACATTTGGGTTTTCTCCTGTATATTCTTACAGGTCCACTCACGTCCCAGTAGGAGAAGATCAGGTACAACATCTGGAGCTGGCTCAGGACCTGGCCCGCATCTTCAACAACACATACGGAGACTTCTTCCCTGAACCACGTGCTCTGCTCAGTAAGTCAGCACACTGTATGATCATTGGTTATATTTGCAGGCAGAGTACTCTCAACATTTCTCTCTCTCTCATACACGTCCAGATGCAAATGTTTACACAGACAGACAGACAGACAGACAGACACATGGCCAGCATATTCTACTGATGGAGACTCTGAGACCCCCTTTTATTCTCCATTATAGCCATCATAAAAGCACAAGATGTAACCAACCATGCGTGCAATGGAGCTTTGATTAAAGGACTGTTCCTGTCCTCGTATATCTGAGAAATAGAATGATAATAGATTATTTATTTTTTTGGGGGGGGTTGGTATGTCCTCAAGATGACTTGGTGTGCGTGTGTTGAGATGAATAGATAGAAAGTGTGTGTGTATTACAGTGGTTGGCTCAGGCTGGTTGATGCTGTCTTCATGTGCTGTGTTTGACTGTTTACTGCTGGATGCTTTGTGGGAAAGAGACACGAGCAGCAGTTTCTGACACCTGCCAATCATCACCTCACAGCATACTGCCAGGACCTGGTTCTTATGGTGACATGATTCATCTGATGCAATGATATCATGCATACATCCACCTTAATAAGAGGCTATAACACAACCCAGCCTTAACAAGACCTATTCTCTTTCATCCCAATCAGGCTCCACGCGGAAGGTAAAATCCCTCCGTGACCCCTCCTCCAAGATGTCCAAATCAGACCCCCAGAAGATGGCCACTGTCAACCTCACCGACTCTCCCGACGACATCGTCCTCAAGATCCGCCGCGCCGTCACAGACTTCACCTCTGAGGTGACCTTTGACCCTGAGGCTCGTCCAGGCGTGTCCAACCTGGTTCTGATGCATGCGGCGGTGGTGGGGTGCACGGTAGAGGAGGTGGTAAGGTGGGCCAAGGGGCTGGACACGGGAAAGTACAAACAGCTGGTAGCGGAGGCCGTGGTGCAGCGCCTCACGCCAATCAGGGAGGAGATTGAGAGGCTGAGGGGGGACAGGGGGCACCTGGAGAGGCTTCTGGCCCACGGAGCCCACAGGGCCAGGGAACTGGCTGCACCTGTCCTCAAGGAGGTCCGCCACAGAGTAGGCTTCTGCTGAGGGGAAAAGGGGGTCAAAAATTGCCCATTGTTTTCTATGATTTGTCAATTAATTAATTGAATTTTAATTTACTTCTGAATTAACTGAATTGATCCCAATCCAGAAAGGCGGGTTGAGAAATTTGAAAGACTTGTTGCACAGATGAAAGTGCGACAGACAGACTGACAAAAGGAACTGGCACTCTGTTTTGTGTGGGGACTGGAAGATTGGCTATGGTGATTGACTATGTGTTGTCATTTATGAGGCTCTGCCTTGTTTCATATTGCTGCCAATGCTTTTTTTATTATTTAAAGAATAAATATGTACAGTATGCTCTGTGGGTTTCTCAAGCTCTATCACACACAACCCACACACCTCTTCCCTTCATGGCCTTCATCAGACAGTCTGTGGGTAGTGAGTATGCTAATGCACTGTCAATAGGAGGTATTCTGCCTGTTCAGTTGTGGGCTTTGGTCTACAGATGGAGATGGAACATAGAGAAGAGCTCAGCCTCACTGTGATACTTGGATAGACTAACCTGAGATCCAGACTGCTTAGGATAATATTTTCACCCTCTGTGGTTCATCCTGATATTTTCTCCCACAGTCCTGGTGATGGAACAGATCCCTCTGTGGGAGCTGGACTGTGGAAAATATGGCTGAAAATATAGGCTATTCATATTAGCCAATGATAGCCTACAAGGACTAAGGAGTAGGCTACCAAATTCAATTTAAGACATGCAATATATTTGTATATTCTTTCAGTATAGGATCTTTCAGTATAAAATGTATCATATATTTTATAAGATCATTTGAATGTAAATGTAATCGAATCTAGCATGAGTAAAATAAAAACGGGTTTATTCGAATTTCAAACGTTTTTACGAAGGAGGTCGACTTGATTTATATATTTAAAAACATATTTTGCCTACCTCGGCTGAATCTCCTCTCTGATTTATATTCGATCCAGACATCATCTGTGGCCGAAATATGTCCTGGTTTGTAGGCCTATCCTATAGTAGTGTTAAATGGAGTGTATGCCCAATTTGTCCATATGAAAAGCTGCATTGTATCTCAATGGTATAGGCTATTCCGTCAGAGCATAGGCTACAAACTCGTCTGAAAATAGCAGCTGAAATACTCGGAAAGGACTGAAAGGCATTTTCATTCGCAACACATGTAGCCGGACTCAGGCTACTTTATGAAGTGTTAGATGAATTTAATTAAAATAGAAAACAGTAACGGAGGCAAATGCACTTTCAAAAGTTTATGAAATGTATTTCATATTCATATTATTTGACACAAAAAACAAACATTGAAGTTTTTGTATTCATGTTTTACTTTTTTTTTTTTTTACTTTTGTACTAGTAGGCTAATTGATTTAGGCTACTCAGAAGTTAGAAATAACAATGTACCCCTTCACTAATAATGTTTTAGTACTTAGTATGTAATGAATTAATCTCAGAAATGCATTAGCCAAAGTTTGGTTAGGCTATTGATAGGCCTATTTAAATCTTGCCCAATTGTGTTTTTCAGAGCAACCAATCATGTCCAGAAACATAAAATAGACTGTCATTATTAAATCTCTGCTTGATTATTAAATCTGCTTGATTTAGCTTTTGTTATATTTGGCATTTTTATACATATTCTGTATTTCCATTGAAGAAAGCAATAAATAATAAACACACTATTGTAAATAAATGGACACTAACTGTTATAAAACTTAAATAAATGGTGAGAAATGTTCGGTCTGAAGCCATACGGCTATGGGTTTCACAACCCTATAATAATGATGATACAAGTTATATCACCTTAAAAAGGGTTTATTTACCACCTATGGGGTATACGATGTTGGGAATAGTGTCATAGGAGAGTCTGAAAGGAATTAAATACTGTAACCCTAAGCTATGTTCAGTGTCAGCAGCAATTTCCAGTGAGAAATGTTCAATCTGAAGCCATTCTCAATGTCACCTTAAATGCAAACTTCATCATCCAAACATCACACGGAACACATCCACAGCCAAACTCATTCCATAAACCAGTCTAAATAACGGGTTGTGCTGACAAAAAACAAAACATAAGTTAGCGACCTAACAGCTAGACTTGTTTACAATGTACCACATCTCTGGTGAGGACAAGGGAGAAATGTAATATTGTTTAGAAAAGAGATGTGTGTCAGCTAAACTAACAGCAGCTAAATTCTATCTGATGGCATCCATGTTTGTTTGTTTGTTAGACAAGCGAAAACTCAGAATGCCATTCACTATAAGACACAAATAAACAAAGTCAAAGATGTCTACGCCCATTGCCTGAAAAATATTTACTTAGTTTGACCACTTTTCAGCATATTACATGTACTTGTTAGTGTATACAAGAACCAGAGCACATGGCTTGACAAGTCGTTTACCGTTTTTGACAAAACACAAAGCAAATAAAATGTTTTCACCTCACAGATCATCACACCATATACAAGCCTATTGCCTAGCCTAACCGTAGCGCGAAAGCTAAACAGGGATGAAACCATTTTAGGGGGATTTGTAGGGGGGGTTTCAAGTCCATGGGGGGTAGAAATGGGGGAAGGCATCGTAGGGGGATATGATGCAGGAAATATTACTATGATGGGGGATTTATCAATAAATGGGGGGCAAACACAGAAGTTTATACGCTAAATAAAAATAAAACTCCTGGAAAAGGGGGTCTGAGCTGGCAACCCTGAGGTACCATAGTTACAATCTGATGCCGCGTTCAAAACAACTGGGAACTCGGAAATCTCCGACTTCAGTGCGTTCAAGACAACTGGGAATTCTGGAAAAAAAGAACTCAGACTGGGAAAAATCATTTTGAACGGTCATCCAACTCGGGAACTCTGGCCTCTTTCTAGAGCTCTGACCTGAAGTTCACTGACGTCATGATTTTACTTCGTATTTTTCTGAGTTCCCAATTGCCTTGAAAGTACCATAAATCAGTCGAGTGAACTGTGACCAAAATGTTATGTTTGTGCTTTTCTATAAACCAATTTCTGTGTACATGCAAGTGACTGAAGGAATCCTCACTATCAGTATCTGCAATTTGGCAGTACACCCAGAACATTTGTCAGACGCTCTTATCCAGCACGACTTACAGTTAGTGAATGCATACATGTATTAATTTTTTTTCATACTGACCCCCCGTGGGAAACGAACCCACATCCCTGCCGGCCAAACCCTCCTCTACCTTGGACGACGCTGGACCAATTGTGCGCCGCCCATGGGTCTCCTGGTCGCGGCCGGCTGCGACAGAGCCTGGAATCGAACCAGGATCTCTAGTGGCACAGCTAGCACTGCGATGCAGTGCCTTAGACCACTGCGCCACTCGGGAGAACCTTGTTTAGAGAAAGGGATATCTCAATTTCAAGGTCTCAGCTTAGAGAGAAGAAGCCTTGTGAGGTATTGGTCTGTCACATGCATGAAGCAAACATTAATTATGAATGATGCAAATACGGGACTGCCCCGTTAGAGCTCACTTCAGACTGGTACTTTATGCATCTAAGTTTGACTGTGACCTCTCCAGCTTGCTGACAATAAAGAGTGATTCATTTAATATTGACTTTGAGTGTCCCTGTGTAAGGATTTCCACGACAATTTGGCGTCAACAAACAGGATGACTGATTCTGCCTGCGGAGCTTTCCAGTGGGGGTCTGCGAGGAAACCGGTGGCGCTTTTTAAAAAGTGTGAGGGAAATTCCCGTCTGACCAAAAGACGACGAGACCCGCCCAGACCAGACCCTTACTGTGAGCTGCCCAGGGGGAGACACATCATCCGTGAACAATTGAGGGACGGCAACTGATAAAAAAATAAATACAAAATATTATAAAACAATAAAACTAAACATAAAGATGTAGAAGGAGGGTACCACTAGTTCAAGATGTTATTCTATATGAATGGGAAGTGTGTTTGGGAATAGTACTAAGTGAATGTGGATGTGAAAGTTGTGTGATTATGAGTTATGACATATTAAGTTGATTTAAATTTGGATAATAAATTGATTGAAATTATTAATATTAAGATTGAAATTTGGATAATAAGATTGATTTAAATTAGGATAATAAGAGATTGAAATGTAGCTATAACGTACTGAGTGAATGAGAGCTGTCAGGGGACTAGCTCCGGTGTGAATGTGAGCTGAGTTTTCCAGTTCTGTGTGAGAGAGTTTTTCCATCTATAACGTTATCTAGGGGTTCCGTCCACCACCACCCATCGTAGTCTGGGACTACTAATAATAGCACAGGGTGTTGTTTTATATGTATAGGTAGCGGTCTATAGTCATTTCTGAATTGTCTATGTGGTCTGGGACCACTGTCTCTGGGAGGCTAGAACCGTTGAAGATACATATGGTGCATAGATGCACATGGAGTGGTGTGGGTGTGAATACCTATGTATAGTTATATAGCGAAAATAATGAATACCCCAACCAGTTCTGTGTGAGCTGAGCTTTTCGATGTATAACAATATCTAGGGGTTCTGTCCACCAACGCCCATCGATCAAATCAAATCAAATTGTATTGGCCACATGCGCCGAATACAACAGGTGCAGACATTACAGTGAAATGCTTACTTACAGCCCTTAACCAACAGTGCATTTATTTTTAATAAAAAATAAAAATAAAACAACAACAAAAAAAGTGTTGAGAAAAAAAGAGTTAAAATAAAATAACAGTAGGGAGGCTATATATACAGGGGGGTACCGGTGCAGAGTCAATGTGCGGGGGCACCGGCTAGTTGAGGTAGTTGAAGTAATACAGTGGGGGAAAAACGTTTTTAGTCAGCCACCAATTGTGCAAGTTCTCCCACTTAAAAAGATTAGAGAGGCCTGTAATTTTCATCATAGGTACACGTCAACTATGACAGACAAAATGAGGAAAGAAAATCACATTGTAGGATTTTTAATGAATTTATTTGCAAATTATGGTGGAAAATAAGTATTTGGTCAATAACAAAAGTTTCTCAATACTTTGTTATATACCCTTTGTTGGCAATGACACAG